TTTAAACGTTAACCTAATATTAAACTACATAATTTATTTCTGTTTGTTGTTATAAATGTTGCTGCTGCTAAAATTCAAACCTGTTAATTTTTAGGCTGCAAATTTTGCATCATTTTTTGTTTTTCTCTTTTTTCTTCTTCACTGAATGAGTAATTGATGGAGGTTATACTGAAAGTTCTTTTGATATTGTTTCAAGTCGGTGTTACAGTCGTTTTTCAAAGTTTGTCGACATTAGCATTGGCTGAACAACAGGATTTAAAAAGCTGTTAAAAAAGAAAAACATTAATTCTTTCCCCTTTTCTTTTTCGATAATTTACTTCTAAGAAAAATGAGCAATTTTCAGTGTATTTTCTGAAGCTTTTTATTTTCCAAATTTTCTTGAAATATCTAATTTTGATAACCCGCTAATATTTTTCCTTTTCGGAATATGACATTTTTGAATCAAAAGAAAACTGGTGATGAACAAACCAAATTTTTTTAATAACTGTTATACAGTTTGCACTCATTTACTCTTTTGTTCCTCTTTCGAGCTATCATCAATCCTTAAAAAATATTTCTAAATCTTGTCTAATTTTCTTATTTCTTAATTCTTAATAATGCAGTTTTGTTGTTCTGTCTTGTTTTTTTCACATTTAGTTCTTACGGCTCAACTAAAAAAATTGAGAGAAAAAAAAAGAAGCAGTGAAAATGTCATGGCTGACAATTTTTATACAGGGGCGAAAAGATGAAAGAAGGAGATATCTGCAGAATGTGGTGAAAACTTTTTTCAGATTCTATTTTTAGACTGAAATTGTGAAATTTGAAAATGTTTTTTGACAAAAGAAAAAACAGCTAGTTGCTTTCCTTTTTTTTTTTTTTGTTTTGTCGGAGAGCTAACAATAAAAGGCACTAAATTCTTCGAGCACTCTATTTATATATCAAAATTCTTATTTAGGAGGGGGCCTAGCATCCAAAATTTAAAGCGAAAAAAAGAAGAAAAAACAACGAATTTTCTTGAAACCAAGATGATAAAGCAAGCTAAAAAATTTAACCTTTTTCTCCAAAATTTTCTATCATCATCATCGTTATCATCATCATCATAATCATCATCAGCGTTGTTATCGTCACTATCATCATCAGTAAAATACCACCTTTGAATCCACCTTCAACTAATCATTGGTCAAGTACAAAACAAAAAAGACTTTTGGACCCACCATTATCATGTAACGCCAGCAATTGTTTCATTGATATATCACTTTTTCCTTCACTATAGCTAAAAACAGATAAAAAAAAAATTGGAAAAAGATGAGACAAGAGAAAGGAAGCAGTGTTAAGGATGTACCGAAGACCAAAGAAAGGAATAGACAAAAAACTTATCACCTGCACCTTTTCATCTTCGCTTCCTGCCTTTCTCTGTGGCTCCACGGCACTCCTTTAGCGCTTTTACACCCTGCATTCTTCTCACAAGCCATTATTCTCTTCTTCGTCTTTTCCATAATTTTATCTTCTATTCCTTCCTTTCTTTATTCTTCTTCCTTTTTCTGCTTCTCATTCGCCGCTGCTACAAAAAGAATAGATTCTGCAGCAACAGCAGCAACGGCAAGCACAGATGTTTCCCAGCAGTATTTTATACTACCAATTAAAATAAACTTGTCGACCCTTTCTGCAAGAGTAATGAACAGTTTTTTGTTTGTTTAGCTATGTAATACGATTAAACGGAAGGAATGAGGTTACATCAATTTGCTTAACTTGGCATTTTGGCACATTGACACTGTTGTGACAGTCGTTTAGACGGCACACGAGCCCGCATGCACACATACATACACATACATACAGATCGATGTCATCACATAAATCTTTTAAGTTTACTACAGTATCGGTTGGTTGCCGCTGTTGCAGCTGTTGCTGTTAAAATTGGCAGCGTCAAAATTGATTGAGTTGATGAACAGCGACAATTAAACCAGTGAAAAAAAAAAAAGAAAAAATGACATTCTTGTGAAGCAAGAGAAAAATAAATAAATAAATAAACTCAGATTTTTTGCAATTTCTCTTCTCTCCATGTTTTTTAAGGTTTTGTCTTGCTAAAAATGTTGTAAATTAACCCTCTCCCATTAACTATAAAAAAAAAAATTAGTGCGAACTTGATTGACACAAGAAATACTTTGAAAAAAGTGTTTCCCAATTTTTTTTACTTCTCTTTTACTATAACCACATTTTTGTCTAATTATTTTGGAAATACTAACTTTTTTATTAGCATGACGGAAGAGAAGAATGAGGGAGAGGAGGAAGGGAATACGCAGTCTGCTGATGTGTCTTGAAATTTTTTGCCACTTTTTTAACGTGCTGTTGTTTTGAAAAGTATTATTCTATTGAATATTTATTGTTTATTGATACTATTAATACTTTGCTATAAATTTTTAAAAAGCGACCTGATACATCTATTTAGAGGGCTTTAGAATTAGTACATTCAACAATTTACATAATATGAGCTTTATAAAAAGAGAAATGTTTTTAGAATGTATATTTTCTTGCGGTTTTTGTGGTATCAACTCAATGATCAGAGAGACATAATAGAAAAGCAAGGACAATGATGAAGTAGGAAATAGATAAAATAAAAGAATTTGACGAGTTTTACCCAAAAAAAGTTCTACTTTTGTCTCATTCAGTTAATTATTGACACGCAGAAAATTAAAATTTATCTAAACCTTAAAAAGAGAGTGTTTTTTCTTTGTTTATTGAATCAAATGTGCAAACTAAGAATTTTAGAAGAATTTTGCGTTAGCTGTACAGTGAAGGAATATTTCCTTCACAACCTAAAACTGTTTTTTGCCCGAGAAGCTTTTTAGGGTAACAGCGTTTTTCATTTCTTTTATGGCCATATGCTCATTATCTGTTTTTTCAGGTGAGAAAAAGATAAACTAAACTAAAACTATAGTAAATTGCGTAAGTTAAAATACCTTATCAGGTTGTCGCCTTGACGCCATTTCTTAATTAACCTTCTGGTTGGAAGATAAAACCTAGTGACAGCAAAATTTCAAAGAGTTGAAACATTACAGACCAGAACTTTTCTTTGCTTTTACAACTTTCCAAAAAGTTTTTTTT